AAAAAAAAAAAAAAAAAAAAAAAAAAAAAAAAAAAAAAACCCTCAACAACTTTTGTTATACGCTATTAATCAATTTTTTGTTGAACTAAAATTTTGGGTGAGAGAGAGAGAGTCTTGTTTCGTGCTGGAATTAATCAAATTGATGGAGTAGTTTATCTTTTGTTCCTCACCGGAATGGAGTGGTTTTCACCTACTACTACTAACCCACTTTAAAATTTAGCTGCATGAAACTGATTCATTACTTTAATACAGGATTTGACTACATCAAATGATTCATATGTGCTACTTGATTATTGAATTATTGAATTATTTCACACGCTAATTAAAAAAACAGAGAAACGTGTTTCACTGCAAGTCCCAATATCTTAAAAAAACACATAGTTGTCACGTATTTTTATGATTTGTCAATCTCAATGCCCAATGGCTTTTATACCTTCCATAATATTCCTTCGAAAAGACACACAGAAATTATATATATATATATATTTATTTATAGAGTATAAAGATAATAACTTTTTGCTTTTTTCGAAGAGATCATAATAATATTAATATAGAAAAAAAGGTGACAAAAGAAAAGGCAGATGGTAGTAGATGAAAATGAAACATCAGACGAGGCCTTTGGTGTTTTGTATGTTTTTGAAATCGCTGAAACTGACATGGGCTGCTGATGCATCCAGCCATACATGGGTTGGTCTATCGCCTCATATACGACACCGAGCACCTTACGAGCCTTTCTCACCATCCTTCAATCGCTCCAAAGTTGGTTTAACCAGAATTTCATGTCATGTTCTACTCTTTATCGTTTGTATTTATGAAAATTGTCATCACCTACTTGATTCAACCTTACATTTTTATTTTCAACTTCAGCTCGTCTTTCCACTTATCTCCTAGTGTTACAATCGTACTTTTTTAATTATGCGGTGTTGTAATTTTGACTTGCTCACAACCATCCTTAAGGATAATTCAAGCACATATTCATTTTTTGCACATGCTACGTGTCGTTCGTAACATTGTGACATCCTAAACATCCATTCATCCATCCATTCATATTTTCTTGAGGCACTGGCCCTCATGTGCCCATGCCATGTTATTTATGGACTCCCTACCATATAACAGGTGCATAACATCTAGTTGAGGCACAATACCAGCACACCCATACCGCTAGGGCACTGTTGTTGAAAGACCTATTTCAAAAGAAGTTGTACACACGCATGTACCACATAATAGTATGCTTAGATCACAAGGCTTAGGTGTAACGTACTTAAGTTACATTTGAGATATCTTCAGCCACGTGTGATGGGGGAAGGAAACAGTTTTTAAAAAAAAATATTATTAAACACTTAATTTTTTTAGTTGCATGGTTGCAAACATCCTGTCAGCAATGATATAAAAATCTGGAAATATTGCAATAAATAAATAATGTAAAATGATTTTGGTTGGCTATTTTTGGGTTGTGGAAGGGATAAGGAATAGATTTCGTGATATGAGCCAATGAACGGCTTGAATTAAATTCAATCCAACGGCCCTTATTCAATTTCATTGAGTTAATTAGATTTGTTTTCCACTGACGTGTTCAAGTTGGCCTCAACGTACTTATTCTATTTTATTTTATATTTCTGAGACAAGCCGTTTTGAATATTACCACGTCGTTTTAATAAATTATCCTGAAGGACCAATTAAATTAAAATGCAACTACGAATAATATCGGACACTCATTAATTAAAGGTATGGTTATAATGACATGAGTGGGCCATGCGACCATTGTCCTCACACCATGGCCTTGCGGTTTAACCATCCCATCTCACTAATATATTAATTCCACTCAATTAATATAAATAATTTTAAACTTCTATTCAAAATAGGTAAAGGCTCGATACAAGTGAGAACGAATTCGAAGGAGGAAAGCAACTGAATTTGTAGCTAAGGTCAACCAAATGAGTATCCTTACTATAGGATAAACTAGAAATTGTATGAGTTACAATTTATGATGCATGAGCTGTATCGTATGATGTCGTATACTAGTATATGATAATATATGAGTTATAATGCTTGAGTTTTGATACTTTGATGATGTGCGTAATATATATAGTTTGATGTATGATGTACTTGATATGCTTGATGCACTTTATAACGATATGATAAGTATGATGATTGTATGACGTTTGTCTTAATATAAATAAAATTATTATCATCCATGACTATGTTTTCCAGAAAAGAAAAAAAATGATGTTTTAAATGTTTTCGATATATTAAAGATGAAGTTTTCTTTTAAGAGGTATATTCTACATTTTAGTAAAACATGAGACGTTAGTAACGAATTTAAATATATAGAAATTTAGGGTTGTTACAAACTATAAAGAATATTTTTCTAGACTTATTTAAAATATTTAAAGGTATTATTAAATTTTAAAAAAAATTTAATATCCATTTTATTTTCACCGTCATTTAAGCAAATACATTAGATTTGGGTCTATAATTGTAGTATTAAATTCGATAAAATCATTTTTGGTTTGAATGGAGCTTTCACTTATTAATTCTTTGTGTTCCAATCCCACTTTCACAATAAAATAATAATAATTATTATTATTCGTTCATACGTTCTTGAGCTCTTATGAACTTCTGAGCATTAATAACACTTCAATTTGTTTATCACTACTAAGCAAAACAGACACAGATTCGATTTGACTAAATATTAATCATTAAAATGGGAAGGAAAAAAAAAAGGACAATTTCATTTTGAACTCACAAGCTATTGCATTTTTTTAATTTTATCAAATAATTTAGTAAGAAACATTGACCAAATCTATCATTTTTTTTACGAATAAAATAAAATTAAAAAGAAAAAAAAGGGAAAAAATAATAATAATAATGAGATACAGACAAGGGTCAGTTTAAATAGGACTAGGGAGCCATTAGAAGTAAGATCAAGCATTGAGAGGAGAGAGAAAAAGGCGGCCCCGCCGCTGCAAATACCGTTCTAAGTGTCAACAGAGCAGAGAAAAAGAAAAACAGAGAGGTTCTAAGATGAGATCTACTACCACTCAAGACGATGTTCTTGAACCGTTGCTGCAGCCGACGACCGATTCGCCGTTGCTTTCCGACAAGCATGAAACCAACGACGAACTCGAAAACATATTATCCGACACTCAGATGTCTGTCGTCCAGCGTTACACTCGAGCTACTTGGATCGAGCTTAAGCTTATGTTCTATTTGGCTGCTCCGGCGGTTTTCGTGTACATGATTAACTACCTCATGTCCATGTCTACCCAAATCTTCTCCGGCCACCTCGGTAACCTCGAGCTCGCCGCTTCCTCTCTCGGCAACAACGGCATTCAAATCTTCGCCTACGGCCTCATGGTACCCTTTTTTTTAATGTAAATTTCAGATTATTTTTTATTATTGTTATTAATTTCAAAATCAAAATTTCCAAACAGTTGGGGATGGGAAGTGCAGTGGAGACTCTATGCGGGCAAGCATTCGGCGCCGAGAAATACGATATGCTTGGCATTTATTTACAG